CAGACCCATTCCCTAACACCCCCGAGCCCAGCCCGCAGAAGCCATGGCCTCATAACCCAGGGCAGTGAAGACCACGATGGAAGGGTTCTCATCCGGAGAGCTGGAGGGGGGCAGCTTTTGGGGAGGCAGAGGTGCGATTTAGGACAGACACGGGCAGCCCCTGCCCCCTAGCCCCACACCAGCACTTTCCCCACAAACCCCGCACAGGCAGAGCAGGCACACATGCGACATGCGAGTATTCCCCAAACAAGCTTTCCTGAAGTGAAAAAAAAAAATAAAAAATAAACCCCCCAACCCCAGCCTGGCAGCTTCTCAGGTGGTCAGGGTAAGGGTAAACACCATGGAACAGGTCAGGGGTGCTGGGAAGGAGCAACGGTGCATCCCAGCCCAGAAAGGCAAGAGGGGGTGATGCAGAGCAAGATATGGTCTGGTACCACCAGGCCATGGTATCAAATGTTAATGCCCTCATCAAGGGAAGCCATGGGTAAAGCACCAGCTCTACGAAAGAGCCCAGGCAGGGGAGCCCATCCCAGCTGGCTGTTTGATCATCAGGCCAACTGCATGAAGCAAAGCTGAAGAGGCAATGGCACTTGCTGCTCAGCCAGGTCCCCCCTTGAGACCCCCTAACCCTTGGCATCCCCTGCCACCATCCCCAGGCCAAGGAGCAGGGGCTGGGGGGCAGAGGGCAGCCTCAGGGGGGCCCAGCCCTGGGAGGGAAGATACTCGCGTGCGAGGGGAAGGGTTGAAATGGTCCGAAACGCCCCGCTGGGGTTGCATTAACTGCTACAGATACTATTGCTAGCCCACAAGCTGAGTTCTTGCTTGGTCAGTGGTCCAAGGCAGGGTTACTGCACAGAGCCCTGCACCGTGCCTTTACAGAGGGGCATGCCTGTGCCCCCCGCTGGGGAACAAGCAGGCCCCAGGCTCGAGCACAGCTCCCGGTGCATGGCATTCACTCCTGGCCACAGCTCTGCCAGGGGTTGCATTTGGTCATTTTATTTCCCTGTTTGGGTTGGTTACTCACAGTGCCCAAACATCAGGAAAAAAAAGGCAGCATCAAAAGCAAAGCCCCATTGGCAAAACCCAGGGCAGAGCTAGCGCCACCGAAGGCAGGGAGCAGCACCTGTGCCACTCGCCCTCAGCCCCACAGACCCTGCCAACGGTTAGTCAAGTGCCCTTTCCAAATGCAGGAAAATTTCAAAGGGAAGGCTCTCCCGAGGGCTTCCAAGGCAGGAAGCTCCTCAGGCCACAGCTCCAGCCCCCTAAAGAGCCCCACAGCCTCCTCCTTTCTCTTCCCTATGTCCAGGTTCTCCCTCCAGAACACTACAAGCAAAGAACCGGGACACCCAACACCCAGCAGGCATCTACAGAGCCTCCTCCAGAAGGCAGAGCTAGTGTGGTCAGAACCATCTGGGCGGCACAAGCAGCTCTTCCATCCTGCCTCCCCTCAGCTTTTCTATCCAAGTACATTTAAAAACAATGGAGCAATACAATTGTTTAAAACCAAAGTTGTCTGCTTTTTCCTGTGGTAGTAGGTGGTCATGTCTGCTCCTGCCACCAGGACAAGAATAAGAGGCCATAGCCTGGGACTACTGGTTTTCCTCACGCATCTGTTCCATGATGTTGATGAGGCTCTCCAGCCCAAATACATAACCCATGTCAGGTCCATCATGCACAGTTGGGTCATCACGAAAGCCTTTGAACGTGCTGTGTGCAAAGTCAATCATACGCACGTCCACCTTGGGCTGGGCTGAGGAGCCGGGCTCTGTGCTGCCACCATCCTGAAGGCTCTCCGGGAGAGAGCTGTCCATCCGCTTCAGGCGCATCTCCGCCCGGCGCTCCACAAACATCCCTGCCCTGCTGTCCTTCCCATCATAAATGATGAGAAGGGAGCTGGAGTAGAAGCGGTAGGAGGCCTGTCTCTCCAAAACTGCCTTCAGGCTTCGCAGTTTGGTGAGGACAGGCTCAAAGAGGTCCTTGCGCAGCTCAATGCCGTTGTGGAGATACTGGTAGAGGGCGTTGCGGAAGCCCTCGATGGAAAGACCACGTCCATAGTATTTATTCCTGCATAAGTAATGCCCTGTGTCCAGCTGATAGACCTAGAACGCCAAAGGAAACTCGCATCAAGCAGGAGCCACAAGGTTAAGGCCACACACAGAACTCACCCTGTCCCCATCACGCCCAAGAGGGAGCAGGAAACAGCTGTGCCTGTTCCCCAAATCCCAAAATAGCACCCCTTGAGCACAGTCAGGGTGTCCAGGCACTTGTTCTCTCCCAGGACACCCAAAGGGTGGCTCTTCAGCCTGAGCATCCCCAAGCAGCATGACACAACAGACCCCAAAGCTTAAAAAGCCAGCCAAGTCTTACAGCAGCTTGGACAATCCTCCGTCTGTGCTGGAGCTGCCAGCACATGTTGCCATTAGTACGTGGCATGTGATTAAGGAGGGGCCCTCATTTTTTTCAGTGTCTGTGGGCAGAGATCTGGATTACAAGGTCCTTCTGTGGGTGGGGAAAGGAACAGCTATTGTACAACAGCACCAGCAGCAAATCCCTGGGTGCAGGGCCAGCCACAAGAGGAAAGCAACCGCCTAACTCCCAATGGAAGCAGATGTCAGCTGATGCTTGGGACAGAGGGACCCCTCCCTCCCCAGGCACCGTGAGTCTCGCTGAACACTAAGCCACAAAAATAATTTTACTAGCAAATCCCCTCATTGCTTGTGACCAAAACCGCTGTGGATGAAGCGGGCCATTTCAGAAGAAGCAGGTTTCTTTGTTCTAGGCTTAGATATGAAGACAAAAAGCACATACCGTGAACGCTGGTGTACTGACTGAAGTGGAAGACTCTGCAACTCAGGGCTCAGCAGAAAATGCTAACTAGGAGGTCTAATAGGGCTGCGAAAGGGAACATGCAGCAGCCACAGCCCTGGGGATCCCTACCTGCATCCCACACACGCGCACGCCCAAGGTGGCGGAAGTGCTCTGTTCGCACTTCTTCATCTGCCGAGCAGCCTTCTCCTCAGATGCGTCATCTCCATGCTGCCTGGTCCCCATCTTCAGATCAAGTACACAGGGAAGCTTGAAGTGATGCACCACATTCTCCAGCAAAAGGAACTCTGGGAGACATGTCAAGGAGACCTCACCTGTCAGAGACACCAGTCCCCGGGGCCACCACAGACAGGGACTTGGGCCAGCGTGAGATAGGGTTGGGCCACAAACAAATAGTAACCCAAAGAACAGACAGAACAAACTTTGGGGAGGTGAAGAAAAGTACAAAACCCAAACAGCAGCACCCAAGCTTTCATACTTGGTAAGAGAAATCAGCCTGGAAAGAGGAACGGCCAACAGTAAAGCAAGGAGATGACATGCAGGCGTAGTGGAAGCTCAGCAGGGAGAACCGAAGAGCAGAACACTAGTGTCAGGAAAGACCGGATCTGCCAGCAAGAATTGCTGATATGTTAAGGGAAAGCTTAAAACTTAATCAAATCAGCAATTTAACCATATGGACAAAATACAATCCCCACGGACTGCAAACTCAAGGCTTGAGTATTTGGCCTGCCCAGAACAGCAACACAACCCGACATACCAGTGGAAACCAGAGAGGCTACAAAGGCAGGAAACAGAGCAGTAAGGGGAGCCTTCAATTACCCGCCCACGCGCACAACCGGGAAACCCTCCACTAGGGCACAGTGCTGAGAACAAACCCAAGACAATCGGTGCAGCAGCTTGTCCCAAAGGGGGAAATAATAATCCTGATGTTTGCCCCAAGCAGCCCTGCAGGGCACAGTTCAATGCGTTACACTGAAATGGCAACCAGCACACAGCTAGATTAAACCTGCAAGGAAGTTTAACATTTAGAAAAATCTATCATGAACTGTGTTTGATTCTGAAAGAGGAACTTCATAAAAATAAGGAAGTGTGATTAAAAACAATAGGACAGCCAAAAAGAATTACTTTTCTGCAAGTGATGCAGGCTATTTAAAAATAAAAGCTGGAGGCTCAAAGCACACGTTTGAGAATAGGAAAAGGAAACCCACACAGCAAAAATGGTGAAGAATACAGCTATTAAAAGTAAAGTTGTTTCTACGCAAGGTGAAACAAAAAACCCCCACAAGCTGGCAAGTTTAAGACAAAAGCATGAGGGGCCATTTGAGAAGGCACAGAAAATAACAGAGGGTGAGGGGGTGGAGTGTGAAGAGACGCCCTAAAAAGCGAAATAAGATTGATATTTTGCTTCTTTGTTTACTGGGGAAGAGCTTAGAGATTCCCAAGCCAGAACTCTCTTTCCGAGTTCAGAGAATTCTCAAACTGAAATGCCAAGAGAAGAGATTGCACATTGAACAGAAAGTAAGAGAGGAGTAACTCATTTAACACTTCCTTAGTGCCAGGAGACTGAAGGGGGGCTACCATACGACCCATCTGCAGAGATCTGGGGAACTACAAACTAGCCTGACTGGTCCTACAGCCAGAGCTACCAGCGGGGTCTTTGTGTGGAGGTCCATGCCATTCAATGAGCGAACCAGAAAAGTGAGTGAACAGCAAGATGACAAATTTGCTTCTAGCACCAAGTTACTCAAGGTTGCAAACATGAGGAAAAGTTGTGAAAAACTCCACAAGGATCTTATACGAGACTGACTTGGCCATTAAATGGGCAGGCAAAATTCTCTAGAGTTAACATGCAAGATTTTTAATGCATAAAGCAGTGGGTTTGGAGACAGCTATTACCAAGCCAGGAGGGGGATCTTGGGGTAACAAAACAGCAGAGAGGAGAGACAACAGCATTAAACACCGGTGGAAATCTCTGGTTCACCTGCATCTTCCATGTTGTGTACACTCCTGGCCATGGTCTCAAGAAGGATACAGTAGATCTGGAAGAAACTCAAGAAAGGTGACAAGGACGAGCACAGCTCCCTTCCAGGGGATTACTGCACAAGGTAGACCTGCGCCTGCTGCCAGGCAGTCTGACATGAAAAACTACAGTTTTACTATATACACAAGCCAATGAAGAGAAGGACCAGAAAAGAAAGAAAACATGGAATCTAGCCAGAAACATGGCTTCTCTGAGCATCAGTGTCAGACATTAGAGTCACTGTGTGGGAAGCAGGAAAGAATAGTAAAAAGAAACACATAATACAGCTCTGCTTGCGTGAACAAGGGGAAAGCCAAAGGAAATAAGCTGCCTCAGGCACAAACATGTCGGCTGGAGCAGCAGCAGCAGCAACCGAACACACTCAGTTCTGCTTGCTAAAGGATACTGTAGAGTTTTCGGTCCTTGGACTCTGACCGCATGCGGCTCAGCTGCTGCTTATGACAGCGCAGGCTCCAGGGGTTATAGCTGATCTTTTCAGCGCTCAGACCACTGTTCCCATCCAACATCTGAAATGGAACATCTGAATGGATGTGCAAGTCCACCCTGGGACTCTTCGTTTCCTGGATGCTGCTGGAATAAAGACAGAACAAACTTGCCTGTTAGAATCCATGCATTCTTCAGATACTTACGATTGTCATACCCTCCCCTTGCACACAACTATCTCCTGTTCCTTCTCCCGCTGCACACTTCACCCGATACAAACTTTCTGAACAGCAAATCCTCACTAATACCCTGGGCTGGGGACCCATGCTCAAGGACCTGGTCTAACATCTCTGCTAGGTTGTACTGTAATTGATAAGAGTAAGCAGAACATTTGTTTCTCAGGGAACTCCAGCTGGTGCAAGGAGGCAGAGACTTCAAAATACTCTTGAAGAAACCTCTGGGTTAATAACCAGGTGGACTGAAGTGCTTGAATCTGCTCCACACGCTTTGGTTCCACATCCAACAAAGTGCCCAGAGTTATCCTGTGTCAGAAGCACTTCATGTGGATGAGTTCATCCAGAATCCAGCAAAACTCCTGATGCAGTCTGCAGCGCTGCAGTGTGCTGGGCCAGCAAGTGCAAGACAGCCTATAGACTGTATGCAAGCGCAAAATGCTCTCAAAAAGGAGCACCAGAGCTGAAAGGGGAAGGAAGATTTTCTGCTCATCACATTGCCACCAGGCCCTGAGAGTTTTTACCTTTCAGTACTGTCACTGGCCAGGCCAGGTTTTTCCTCCTTGTGCTCAGTGCCACTGCTTGATCTGTGAAGGCTCCGACGCGAGTGCTTGCGTCGCGGCTGGTCCCTCTCTGGCATATCATCTTGCTCCAGAGCCTCGTTCTCCACATAGGGATAGGCCACCAGGTTAATGTAGCCATCACTGTCTCCCTCAAAACAGACAGATACGACACCTGCCAGAGAGAAGCAACATGTCAGTTCTGTTTCCCAGGGGAGGGAATACACAACCACTAGCACCCAAATGTTCCACAGGAGAGAGGAAAACATAGCTCACAGAGCAGCAAAGCAAATCCAGAGCAATGAAAGGAGCTTTAAGACTACAAGAACCCAAATGTTTTTAGCACAACACAGAGGAGAAATCCCCCAAAGCGTGCCCTGTGTTGCTACCTGAGCAAACAGTAAGCAGCAGCAGGGGAAGCTGTCGCCCACAGGAAATTAAGGACAAAAGCACAACTGGTAGGCTGAGGGGTGTGATTATTTCCTTCCATTCAGTCTTGCAGCACATGTCATCAAACTGGAAAGAGTCAAGCACGGTCTACCAAGATGCTGAGGGGAGCAAAGCATACAAAATATCTATCTGGGTAAGTATCTATGTCCTGCAGAAGCATTCTTGCTGTTGACAAGGACATCTCTGGCCAAGGAGGAGCGTGCTTTCTCTGCTAAAGGAGCTCTCCAGCATCTGAGCTCTGGAGTAGAGAGCTCTGTGGGTGAGGTGACACCTGCCACTCATCAAAAATCAGCCAGTCTCACAGAAAAGGGATCTGCAAGGTCCCAGGGCTTCCTAGCAAGAAAAACAGGGGGTCCTGGAAGTAAAGCTACCTCAGCCAGGTGCAGGCAAGCAGGACCATTTGTGTCCTGTCCTGTTTTACCTTCTGAAGGCTCCTGGAAAGCACCATAGTCTAAGGGAAGGTACAGATCTTTCACAGCACAGACTCTGAATATGTCTAGCCAGCCAGCCACAGAACAGGACGGCTGACACTTCCAGTTAGGGCTGACGACATCATCTCTGTGACTCCCCCAGCCCTGCAAATGAGGCTATCAGCCCATCTCCTAACTTGCAACGACAAAAATCTTTCATCAGCTTGTCACCAGTATTGAATAGCTGCCAGGAACATCAGATGCTAGATGCACCAAATCAAATGATTCATCACAAACATGAGGAAACCTCACACTGCTCAGCTGATGCAGGCCATCATGTTGCTGTCCTCCCTTTTTCCTTATCTGCACGTGACAATGCTAACAAGGTTCAAGGCTCAACACAACTTCAGAGCAGTTTGGGACTCTGGCATGTCACTACATAAATGCACTCCAAGTGCTCTGGCTGCCTGGACCCGCTCCTCAAGATATCTCTGTGAAAGAGCGATCTTACAGTAACATCTGAGTGCTCTGACAGAGAATATCATCCCCAATATTCCTCTCCCCCAGATCAGTAGGAACAATTTCTGGCACTCTAGGGAAACTGCACAGGACTCTCAGACAAAATCCCACACTGGGATGGAGGTGCATGTCCTATGCGTTTAGGCTACCAGGAAGTATCTGACTTCAGGAAGACAGGCCTCCATCTGGACTATCAGCTTCATCAGTTTTAAACACATCTCCCAAGGAAAGCCTGACATTGTATCAATTCTAGTAACTACACAGGCTTCAGCTGGGATTTCTGACGGGTCACTAGAGCACCGTAGGGCCCCAGAGTGGCTTGAGGGTACAAGAGGACCCATCTGTTGGAGACTATCTTTCACTCACGATCTGCATACAGATGCCGGTAGGTAAACTGACACTGCTTCGAAGCATTCAGGCTGCAACCAGATCAAATGTCAAGACCCTGAACAGACGGTGGTCCCAGCTGCCTGTGAAGCACCATCCTCCCAATGCCACGCAGTGACAAAGAAGCAGAGGCAATAGGAACACTGAGTCCCCCCAGAAGGCTACCTGCCAGTGTCACCATCCCGAATACAAACACATACGACCGAAAGCATATCAAGCTTCTGAAAGATACAGATGAGCTGCCAACCTCCTGCAACAATACAGACATTGGAAAATTCCATTCCTTCACAGCGGCTGGGGACAAGGCTTCACCTCAGCGCTGGGAAAGAAATGCTTCCTGCTTCAGCAGCTTTCTGATATGGGTCCATAAAAGAGGTGGTATGAGGAAGCAATAAATTACAGGACTGGAATGTGCAAATGCTCAGTATATGATCTAATTTCATCTGCTCAAGGTCAAGGCTGTAATTATCAGTAACTTGGTAGTAAAATTACTTCAGTTACACATCCATAACCTCAAGCTTCAGACTACAACTGTCACACTGCACATTCTGTGTCTAGAAAGAGAAGCACATTAATTCTGCATGCCTACAAGAAAAGACTTCCTTCTTTCTGAGTGCTCCTATCAAATTGCTAGCCTGCAGAAGAGAATTAAAACCAACAAATAAAATGACACCAAAAGACAGCAAGAGATCAGTAGCTCCAGGAAAATGAGAGGGCAGGTTCTCAAAGTATGTACTGCATTCTGGAATGACAACAGGCCTCACCTTTGTACTCAGGTGTGAACTCCTTCATTTCCGGAGGCAGAGATTCATAGAAGCGCTGTTCTCTGGTAATGAGGGGCTTGCAGACAGTATGGTCGTCGTAGCGCATCATGCTGCTGTGGCCGCCCACCTGGTGAATAAAAGGCTCCAGCAGGACCCCCCGGTCTCCGGATCGAGTGGCATTCTTGCCATACTTGCCCACTTCCATGGTTTGACAAACACACATTGCGTTGGGCACCAGTTGCACTCTTGGAGCATGGGGAGAGCCACATGGGCTGGGGAGGAGTAGCTCAGCAGCGGTCAGGCAGCCACAGGGGGGGAAATCCTGGCAATTTGCTTCCTTACAATGATCTGAAAGAGCAAAGGAGATTCCTGTGAACAGAGGACCACTTGCGTTCACTCCCTGTTGGCTCAGAAAAGTTTTTGACATTTATTTATACCCATAACTACTCCTGTTCTGTTCTGTGTTTACATCCCACTTGTTTCAGCATGTTCATCACCAGCTCTTTAATCCTACACACTAATTTGGAGGCAGTCTCATCTAGAGCTTCTCCAGTAAGGTTGACAGGAGGCAGGGAAAGGAGGAAATAGGACTATTTTGAGCCTCCCATCTTTAGAAAATACTATTTCCTTCCTTTAGTTCATTTCATCAGTAAGGCAACGTGATAACAGAGCACAAACCGTGAGCTACAGCACAATTAAAACCAAGCCCACACCTGCCTATCAGTAACAGTAACTGGCAAAGGCAGAACAAACATTTCAGGAGTCTGAATTCTACCTCTTCTGCCTCTGCATTTTTAACATCTAAACAACTAAATAATTCCTGTTCACCTCCTACTCTAACACTGAGTCCTCCTTTACTGACTCGCTTCTCTTCAAGCTATGATATGAAAGACCCTCAGAATAAGACAGTCATTCTTTCACCATGAATATGCTGTAAGTGAATGGATTCCTTTACTACTCTAAGCCCTTCAGGACCACAACTATTTCCTGATGCTTCTGTAGCACCCACAAGCACAACAGGTCCCTGCAAGAGATCGCTAAATCCAAATGAGGTTAGAAGTGCTCTGGAAAAGACAGTTGCTCTTTTAGTATTTGCAGAGTGCCTGGCACAGCCACAGGATGATGGAAAAGTAAAGCCATCCAAATTTCTCTCCAGATGATTTGCCCTTTCCACCTTAGATCATAGCTGCTCTTGAGGCTGCTGGGGAAAACGCCACAGGATTTCCTCACAACAATGAGTTATCTAAAGTCTTTCGTACAAGAACCATATGGAGACTATGGTTTCTGAATTCATCAAATTTCCAGTTTCTTAGCACAGTCACAGCCGAGGGCAATAATTTAAGAACTAAGGGATCTTGGAGGCCTGAACAAGGGACACGGTGGTTCAGGCTGTTCCTCATCTGGCCACGGGATGTCTCCACAGCTACAGAACACTGCCAGGCTGGGGGAAGTTCTGGATGAAGATGGGCTCTTGTCCCTCCCCTTCAATTCAATCATGTAAGAGATGCAGCTCAAGAGATTCAAGAAGAGGGGTGAGATACTTTGTAACATGTTTAACCCAGTCTAACTCAAAAGCTCCCTGTAACAGGGCAACGCCTCTCTCTCCCTGTCTGCACGTTCCTGCTTGGTCCCTCGCACTGGATTTTGTGATAGTATGAGTGTACGTACATTTGAGTTGAATCATCTCGCTGATCCGATGGAAAACATTTCCTTTTGTGGTTACATGACCACACAATCACATTCAGTGTAAGGGGAATAATGTGAATATTTAGCTGGCTTTTAAGGTGGGGGCGGGGAATAAGAGGGGAAAAAAAAACCCAAAACAAAACCACAACACCACAGATGGTCCTTCTCTGTAGCAGCTCATACCAAAGTCTCTTCAAGGTATCCTTCAAAGTCTCAGGCTCTGAGGGAGTTTAGGAGACAAAAATATGCTGTGGATTTCTCTCCTCCCTCTTATTTGCTTTATCAACAAGAAGAAATTTCAGCAGCAGAAGCTTGCTTACATCATGTATATTTTAGTTTGGTTTAATGGTAGTTAATATCCGAGAACAAGCAAGGTGCCAGCATCCACAACAGACCAGCACTTCACAGATTTCAAACAAATGCTTTACAGACTTAAATCTCCTCTTGCTGACACAGCTTTGTCTTGGATTTGGTTTCTTTTGTTTTGCCAATGACTATGGCAGAGTTTTCAGTTATTGCAAACAATACAGGGGACAAGCTTAACTTCACACCTTCCTGTAGTTTAAACTTCACAGGACAAGAGAAATAAGAGATTCATCGGTGTGGTAACAGTAGTGGCTATACTCAGGAGACATGCATACAATGCTCAGGTCTGGTGCTAGTCCCAGCTTTCACTGAAAGCCAATCACAAAATGTCTCAGGGTCTCAGTTTTGCCAGCGATGGAAGGAAGTACTATTTATTATCCATACTTTACAGAAGGGGGATTATCTAAGCAGACTCATCAACCTCAGACACCTTTACTAACTTTAGATGGAGATCACAAACACCCAAGGCAGACACACACACCCCCAAAGGCCCATAGACTGTTCTCACAGTTAGGAGTGCCTCACCCATGGGCTACAGGCAGATTTTGGCCATCAGAGCAAGAGACTTGAAGCCTTTGCCTACTTTCAGCGGCCTTCTTTCCTAAAGGTAAGCAGCAGCAAAGCATATGCCACCTGAATTGTTCTGAAGACAGCAGCCACCTGCTCTGCAGAGTCCCTCAAGCCTTCCCCACTGCAAGGCCTAGAGATACCTGTGAAATGACTGTAGTCGTCCAAGGGCCCCTCGGAAAGTGTCAGTGAAAACAGGCTGTAGCCACTGAGAATTGCCCCAGGCTCCCTGCCAAGTGCCCCACCACCCCCAAGAAAACCCAACATAAGTTTCAGATGTGCAGGCACACCCAGAAGGGAGTGACAGCCACAGAAAAAAAAAAAAAACCAAAAAAAAAAAAAAAAAAACCAAAAAAAACCAACAACAACAAAACACAAAAAAAACCCCACACAACACCCCTCCTCCCCCCCCCCCCCAAAAAAAACCC